GGATTATAGAAAACTCTTCTAAAGAAATGAGCAGTCGACTTTTCTTTCACTTTGATATAATAAACAAACAAACAAAAGATGCTAATATTTTTCTGTAAGGCTAGAGATGTCCATCTTACTCCTGACCACTGCAACCAAACTAGTCTGCCGCAATGAGAAAAATTAGGTGTACACTTGAGTAAGGAAGAAATACCTGAAAAAGACAGACCAATGTTCTGTTGAAACATGTAGTATGTTTCCCTATCAATAAAACCCTACATCAAGATTATAAATCGTTGTTTACCTACCTATTATTTGGTACATAACAGTCTACAAAAACATGTGTTTTAGTGTTAACATACGTGATATGTTAGAGAACATCCAAAATCTCTCCGTGTATAACAACTTACCTCCAACAACTTACCTTCGGAACATTTGGTTGAAAAGAGATTTTTTTGAATCTTTTAACTGTTGGAAAACTCCTAAGACTTCCCCATTCTTTCCTGTGCATCTCAAGATTTAGTTGAAAGAAAAATGTAATATATATTTGAGTTGAGCTGGATAATTCATCTAAAAAGTTTAGCTTCCAAGAGGACGTTTCGAAGTGTGAATAATCCGTCTTTATAAAACTTGGTTATCAAGATGATGTTTCGAAATCTGGATAACCCGTCTTTATAAAGCATGTTTATTGAGACGGCGTTTCTAAATCTGGTTTGTTTGAATTTATGCACAAAGCTACACAATGGGCTATTTGTGCTCTGCCCACCACGGGTATCGAAACCCGATTTCTAGCGTTGTAAGTCCGCAGACATACAATTGTGCCACTGAGGGGCAGCACTTTCAGATATTTAATAAAGAAAAAAAAATGTATATTCTTTTTATAAAATACTTGAAATTTTCAGAAAATGAAGTTCACAAAATAAATCTAATTGTCATTCATATGAGAATTACTGCCGCAGCTTCTATTTTATTTGCTTTTTCTGGCTTTGGTTATTAAAATGATTTTTTTTTCGTTCATTTAGTTAAGTGTGTATGTACTACTCTGAAAAACACTTAACACTATTTATTGGTCGTGATGCTGCAGAAAATTAGAATGACTGGTTTTTTGTATGGTTTTTCTTTTCAAGAATCCGTCTAACTACGTAAATTGGTTGCAATTAAGTAAGTTTTTTTGTTATGTAGTTACTCATACAGAATAAAGCTGTAAAAAGCTGTATTATATATTCATGCAACAGCAAACTTAGTTTTCGGCTTTCAAGTTATTGTTGTATTTGCGAAGCTAAATTACCGTTATCAATTTAAGGCACACGTGAATTGTTTTTTTTTTCTTCGAACGTCTTAAAAATTAGTTAGTTCCTCGCTGAAAGGGCCAAATATCTGATTTTGGATCAACGTAATTAAAGAATACTTCATGTAGTTAGTTTTCTAAGACAATAATCTTTTGCACTGAGACAAGATAGATGACAAAAAGTTTGTAAAAATGTCTGTTTTTTATAATCTAAATTTCGGCGTAAACATTTTGCAAGTCACACACGAGCTGCGAAATTAAAGAATATATTTGGAAAATAAATACAACCCCCTGTCGTAAGCAAATAAAAACACTATTTATCTTAGGAGGAAAGAAAAACGTAAAATATATATAACTTTTCTTAAAGTTGATAAACAAAAAAACAATACTGTCATGTCACGCGCAGGAGACATATAAGGCAGTCTCGCAAACAGACTGTTGAACTGCGCATGACAGTGAAACATGGCATCAGGCATTACTTTATATCTGAAAAGCACAATGGATATATGAATATCGTCATATGGCGTTAACGTTGTTAGTAATGCATGGCAGCCGTACCTCAGCTGTCTCAGCTATTAGGCTGATGGTGTGACTGCGAAACGTTTTGATACCGAAGAAAGACATTTTAAGAAGGTGGCACCGTGGATCTTTATAAGGTGAAAAACAAAGCAAAAAAATAACGTATAAGCTCGAGCGCTTTCGTAGAGTGTTTTGTTGATAAGCGATGAGTATAAAATGCTAAAGTAAAATATAATCATAGAACAACCATAAAGTTCTATAGATTCTCCGTAGATATTAGAACACAAAACAACTTAGATTCACGTTTATTGTTGTATTAATTAGCAAATTGTCTTAGTGCTTCAAATAAGGCAACATGCTGTTATTAAAGTAATTAAATCTATTTTACAGCGAAAATAATTGCTCTCTCCCGTTGGCTCAGAGGTAAGTCTGAGGATTTATAACGCTAAACATCGGGTTTCGATACCCACGGCGAGCAAAGCACAGATAGTTCATTGTGTAGCTTTGTGTTTAACGTGCAGTGGAAAGTAAATTCTGAATCATTCTTGAAACAAATTAGTGTGATAGAATAAAACTAAGAAATCAAAGTATGTTATGTATTCCTCGATCTATGAAGACGCTTTTACAAACTACCGCAAAAACACGCCAATACTTAGAACAATATCTTCAAGAAAATGTATATATATAAATGCGACACAACTATCAAACATATTTGTTTGTTTTAGAATGTTTGCGCTACGCCACCCATGGGCTACTTGAACTTGCTGTTTCTAGTTTTAAAGTGATAGAATAAAGAGAAGTCAACACCCTCCGCCGACTCTTAGGTCACTTTATTTGACCAAATAATGGGATTTGACCGACTGTTATAGCGTACCCAAGACCCCCAAAGTGCTAAGTGCGTTATAACGTTTTAGTTTCATGACTTCAGTAGCTCAGTTAAAAACCGGGTTTCGATACCTGTGGTGGGAACAGAACAGAGAGCCCATTGTGTAGCTTAACAACAACAAAAATAGAAACGTGGCCATAAATATCAAATATTGCGTAGTTTTCTATTTTTAAAAACATATATCGTATTTTTCGGAATATAAGACGCACCGGTGTATAAGACGGACCCTTATTTTGAAGACAAAGTTTTTGGGGAAAAAAAGTTTGTTTGTAATTAAGCACAAAGCTACACAATGGGCTATCTGTGCTCTGCCCACCACGGGTATCGAAACCCGGATTCTAGCGTTGTATGTCCGCAGACATACCGCTGTGCCACTGGGGGGCTGGAAAAAAAAGCTACA